GAGAGAGAGAGAGAGAGAGAGAGAGAGAGAGAGAGACCCCAATCTAACTAAGTATGCTCACCCCCTGTCACATGCCCAGTTGGGCAATTGACATATATAACCAAGGATCCGCAATGTGATGAAAAGGACTGAATGGACAATGCAGTGCTAGTGGAATCTCAACAAGCAGTGTACATCCTGATACATACAAAAATGGTGCTTTGTGATGAAAAGGACTGAATGGACAATGCAGTGCTAGTGGAATCTCAACAAGCAGTGTACATCCTGATAGAGACTAAAGAGGGAGAGAGAGAGAGGGAGAGAGAGAGACCCCAACCTAACTAAGTATGCTCACCCCTTGTTACATGCCCAGTTGGGCAATGGACATATATAACCAAGGACCCGCAATGTGATGAAAAGGACTGAATGGACAATGCAGTGCTAGTGGAATCTCAACAAGCAGTGTACATCCTGATAGAGACTAAGGAGAGAGAGAGAGAGGGAGAGAGAGAGACCCCAACCTAACTAAGTATGCTCACCCCCTGTTACATGCCCAGTTGTGCGATGGGCATATATAACCAAGGATCCGCAATGTGATGAAAAGGACTGAATGGACAATGCAGTGCTAGTGGAAGCTCAACAAGCAGTGTAAGGCGCTTGAGATAACCATGTTGAAGGAACTCGGCAAAATGACTCCGTAACTTCGGGAGGAGTGCTTTTTTTGTACATCCTGATACATACAAAAATGGTGCTTTTTAGCGCAGTGGAAGACTTAGATATAAGTCCTGACCTGACCGGGATTGACCTCTATCACGTAGCGCAAGACAGCGCAGCAGAATGCTAGAATACCAATGACTAGCCCAATCAATGTCGCAACGCAGACCAAACATACATCATCCTCATCACAAGGTGTGAAGGGGCCTGGCGCTACACACAGGAAGAATGCGCCAGGTCCAGATCATGCACAGACGAAGAGGAGGGAATCAGACTAAGAAGAGGTGGGGGAGATGGGAATGTCGTCAACACCAAGTCTTCTTTACGAGTCCCAAATAATCCCTCGTCAAAATGTCTGAAGCCCAATGTCGAGTCTGGGTCCAAATGTCACCAATCCCACTCTCTCGTAGTCTGCAGATGCAGTGAAGTCAGGTAGCGAGAGGGTGAGAGGGAGATGGTGGACTGAGAAGAGGAAGAAGAGGAACTCTCTCTCTCTCCCATGTGCCAGGTACTAACCTGTGAAGATGGCGCTGTGCTGCAGGTACCTCGAAGGTGAAGCTGGAGCTATGGCGCTGCAGGTAAGTCTCCCTGGCCTCCGCCCAATCTCTCTCTCTCCAATAGTACTCTAGCTCCTACTAGCGCCCAGCGCTGAAGACTACTGCTAACGCTACTACTACAACTGCAGCGCTCCTCCAGAGTGCTGCTGCCGAATCCTGAAGACTACCTCCTGCCTCCTGAACTGCGCGTGAAGTGCCTGGGAAGTCCCTACGACACTACCTGCAGCCTGCAGGGCGGGCCAGTCTTATATAGTGCTGGCCCGTCCAGGAGGCTGCTCTTGCCAATGCCGAACGTGCCAGACCCTGACGTTGAAGCTCAACCAAGGGTTGTCTTGAAAACAGGTCTGGTGCCTGAGTTTCAGGGCAGGTCGGTCTCATGAGGGCCTGAAAATGGCCCTCAGTTTCAGGCTGAAAAGACTCAGGGCCGGAAAGGCCCTGTTTTAGGCTGAAACGACACAGGGCCTGTACGCCCTTGTTTTCAGGCTTTCGGGCTGAAAACGACACGGGCCTGAAAGTGGCCCATGCAGCCTGTTGCAGGCGCAGCATGTAACACCCCCTCCCCCCCCTTTTCAACGATCAAGTGTAGTGTCTGATCCGTGGCCCATCGAGACTGTTTACAAGAGAGAGAGAGAGAGAGAGAGAGAGAGAGAGAGAGAGAGAGAGAGAGAGAGAGAGAGAGAGCCCAATCTCACCAACTACCCCCCCCCCCCCCCCCCCCCCCCCCCCCCAAATGATCAAGTGCAGTATCTGCTTCGATGGAAAGCAATTGCTCGCCACACACCCCCCGCCCCCCAGACCACGCGTAGTATCTGCTCCGCTCAGTTTCATATCTGATCCGTGGTCCATCGATACCTTTTTTATATCAGAAAAGAAAAGAAAAGAAAAAAAACATATATTCAAGGCATACAAAGCAGCAGCAGCATTCCATCGGCAGTGTCAAACAGTGCGCAGGTGAGCCTAAAAACCACCTCGACCCCACCCAAACTCGAACCCGGACCAAGAAACCCCCACCCACCCTCCTTTGCACCGTTTTCCCTTCATTTGTTTGTGGGCGAAGCCGCAACAGGTAACCTTGTTATCATTACCATCGTCGTCATCATCGTCCTTCTACCCCCCGCCTTCTGCTCCCTCCCACATCCCTCCAGCCTATCTTATACATTCACCTCATCTTCCTTCTCTCATCATCGTTCAGCTCCCCTTCCCACGCCGCCAACTCCTCCCCCCGTCTCCTTAGACTTCAAATGCACAGTTTCGTACTTTTGCTTCCATTTTACCACTTCACATCATAACTTTTCTGCATCTGTTTGCCCCGTTATTAAGGCGCAGTGAAGGAAGCACCATTGGGGCGGATGATTAGATAATGAGGCCACCATCACGAAAAGGAGACCATCGACAACTCTCTCTCTCTCTCTCTCTCTCTCTCTCTCTCTCTCTCTCTCTCTCTCTCTCTCTGTGTGTGTGTGTGTGTGTGTGTGTGTGTGTGTGCGCATGTGTGTGCATGTATGTGCCTATTCCACCATGCGGCGCACACGCCATCGTCCTCCTGCCCCCAAACCCGACTTCCCCAAAGAAGACCACCGTACTGTGATCGCACAATCTACCCCAGACTGCCTCAACTGCGCAGTGTGCAAAAACATCTAAAAAAGAAGTGAAATCTCACAAGCCTTCCAAAAAACAAAGACACACAAAATACCACCGACAGCAACTGCGCCCAGATGCCAACGAACAGCTGCAGGGCAACTTTGACGCAACCTGCCAATGAAGTGATGCAGGGCAACTTTGACGCAACCCTGTACGAAGCACTGCCACTACCCGCTGTCCCTACCAGCCCTGGCCCAAACGCTGGGCTGGACCGAATCCAGTTTCTGACACTCACGGGACGGCGTCATGCGGGACCTGGCTTGGTGTTTAAACCACCAGTACATCCGAAAAAGCAGATTGAGCCTCTCCTAAAAATTTGGAGGCCATGGACCGTCGATAAAATGAATCGGCGGTTCATGGCCTTCTATTTTTTAAGGAGAGGCTTGATCTCCTTTTTCGGATGCACTGGTGGTTTAATAAGAGAAAAATAACGGTACTCCTTAATACTCGAGCGAATGTCCCAACTGAAAAGTTTGTTGGTTCCGCTGCCCAGCTTGTGACTTTTGACAAGCTGCTTTCCAGTCAAGACCGACGGAGTCTGCCTGTTGGAAAATTGGAGATCTACCAGTCTCAAAGGGCCTTGCTGAGAGTTGGCCAACATATCCTAGGCTCCAATCATGGGAGAAGCAAACAGCAAAAGACTTGTAACTTCAAGAGAAGATCGCAGGTTCAAATCCCGAAGCCATCGAGATGCTGGTAAAAGACAGACTTCTCGTGGTGCCGGTTGCAGGTTCAAATCCTGATGGCACAAGAAGAGTCTTAAAAATGACAGATTCAACAAAAATGCATTTGGGGATAACGGTGGCGAATGAAAGGGCGGAGGCGTTCTTATGTTGTTGGTTTGCTAAGGCTGTGCTGTAGTCGTTTGTGCATTCATTCAGCCATTTTCTTGTGACAACTGGTATCTTTTGCAAGCCGGCAGTGGACATTTCCGCAACCAATCGGAGAGAAGACTCCCTGTTGTCGCATGCCGAGCTGGATGGCAGACTTGTTCGGTCAGGAGCTTAGTTATACGTTTTGATTCCTTCTGACAATTTGCCAATCACTGACATCCCAAGCTGTCTTCCTATGTTTGTGGTACTGTTGGTTCATGTGTTTGGGATACGTCAGCACCTACAACAGGAGGAGCAGACATGTTGTTGGATCTTCTTTCGATGCCTGTGGATGCGACACCTCCCGCTGCTGCTGTGACTGCTTTACCAACAGCTCTATCAAAGCCTGTGGCACCACCACCAATTACCCTACCGAAGTCGGCATCGGTTCTGCCAAGCTCTGCCAGCGTGGCAAACGGGGTCACCTCAGCTCCATCGGTGGCGCCATTGGCTCCATTGATATCCGTCGGACCAAGCACATCTTCGCCAACCAAGCTTAAAGACCCCTTGGAAGGTATCTTACAGGATCTCTTAAAGTCGTCAGCATCTGACGTCAGCAAATCAGCCTCTGCACCATTGCCGGTGTTGTTGTCGGCCTCCACACCGTTGTCCAGCTCCATGCCTTTGTCTGGCTCCATGCCGTTGCCGGGCACCTTATCGTTGTCAGGTTCCCTGCTCTCGTCGGGTTCTTTGCCGATGCCGGGCTCCATAGCGGTGTCGAGCTCCTCGTCGCTGTCCAGCTCAATGCCGTTGTCGGGCTCCTTGGCATTGTCGGGCTCCTTGTCGGGCTCCTTGCCGTTGTCAGGCTCCATGTCAATGTCAGGCTCCATGCCGATGTCGGGTTCCTTGCCTTTGTCTGCATCAGCGCCGTTGCAAGCAGCAGTGCCATTGTCGACAGCAGCCCCATTGTTAGCGGCAATGTCGGCAACATCTCCTCTGGTCGGTGGGTTGAGCATTCTGGGAAATCTGGGTTCATCCACGCTGCCAGCGGTGCCAGCTCCCTTTCCCGGGATGGCTTTTAAGCCTGGCTTCATGCCAGCAGGTTGTTCCCCTCACAAATCCCCACCATCGGCACCTTGACCCCGAGTTTGGTCTGTCATGGTAACAGCGGTGTTCCTCGAACCTGAGAAGCATATCATGAGAGTAGTATCATTTGCCTTCATTCTGCATCACATGAGTCAGTAAAAGCTACACTGTGACCTAATATGCAGATTGCTGGTCCGGTTCTCTTTTGTGTTTCCTTATCTCCGTACGTGCCATGTACGCATCATGCATATTGTCAAGTTCTGTGTTAAGAGAATCTTAAGATCGTTTTTTTTTGGCTTCTTGTTGGGTTTTGTAGTTTTGTTGTATGCTTTTTTTTTTTTTTTTTGGTATTTCTGGGACTTGTCTCCTGTCCGTTTGTGTTTTGCTTGTCCTTAGCATATTATTAATGAAAACACAGAATATAATACACGTATTATTAATTTATTACACAGTGAAAATTCAAAAATGAAAATAAAATGTGCTGTCCTCTGAACTTCTGAAGTACTACAGTCAGTTAACTCAATGAAGTATTGCAGTCAATTGAATTGAAGTCAAGCTTATAACTTAAGTCCATATTGGGGATGGAGATATGGTACATGGATTAATCTGTATGGTGGCTAGCACTGGCTACCCCTCTATCTCTGAATGTCTTTCTGTCCATCGGTCAGCTCGACCACTGGCCTGCCTGCCTGTCTGCTCCCCTGCCCATCCATTCATCTGTCGATCTGAATCTCTGCCCTGCCCTGCCTCTCTCCCCACCCAGTACAGGCAGTGGTCCCCATTCTTTTCTGCTTCCTCCCTCCTCCCCAAGCCACCTCTTTCGGCTCTCTCTCTGCCCACCCATTCTTCGTCTGTTTTTGGCTCTCTTCCCCTCTGTACAGGCACTGGTTTTATTATCTTTTTAAAGTTTTTTATTTTTGTATTCCCACCAAGTTCGCCGTGTATGGCCATTGTCAATCAGCTTGCCAGCTTTCCAAACGACTCTGGCGCTAGCTACACAGAGAAATTTTCTCAGCTGGTGTACTTCAACGTGAGCTCAGTTGGGTGTGTCCCCCTCTGCACACTTTTCTGCTGTGCTTCTTGGCTCTTTATTGACTGCCTGTGCTGGTTTGGAGATCTGTAAACATGAATGAATAAGAGGCATCTTGTTGCGTGGTGGTGCTTTCGACAGGCTACCCATCCATAGTTGCACTTGAGACAAGCGGCGGGCTGAAAGTGGTGTTCGATTTCATAAAGCCACCTGGGAATCCCCAGACGACAATCATTTGGATGACGACAACGAATTCCTCAAACAATCCTTTCACAGAGTTTGTCTTCCAAGTTGCTGTGCCAAAGGTGAGGTGGAGGATGGTGACCTCTTCGGCATTCTTTGTGACCTCTCTCTCATTGCTTCTCCAGTCGGCTTGCTTGCCTTTTTCTGCTTTTGCCTCCCTGCATTGTCCTTTCCATCTGCAAGGATCGAAGAGAAGGCACGCCTTTGTGCGAGGATGCGAATGCCATTCCGAATCATGAAACTACAAAGGGTTTTTCAGTTTGTTGATTCACTTCTATGTCCCAGAGGCTAGTGCGCAAAAAAAACACTGTTGGCTCGCTGTGAATTGTGTGATCAGTCAATCACATGGCAAGGGTGCGGCCACAATGATTGGGCGTAAACACTTTCGTGTTTTGTTATTTGTTCTCCTGGGAGCTCTACAGGCAAAAGTGACCCTTTACGGTGCATTCGTGTGAGGTGCTGGAGACGTTGAAAACGGAAAGAAAAAGAGAAAAAATGAGGGAAAAGGAAGATCAATGGCTGGGGAAGGATGGGTATTTTTACTATTTTCGTTTTGTTTCCCTCCCTGTGATAGAAAAGATAGAAGGTGCTGCATTGTTTTGTGTGGGAGGAGAAGGAAAACGTCTTCTCTTGTGTGTGCTTCTTGTGTGCGCGTCTTGTGTGCCCTCCCAAAACAGAGAGGAAGGTGTGTTTTCTTTTCTGTGAACTGTTCGTGTCCCTGGAAAAGAAAAAAGAAACTCGGACGGGCCGGACCTATTCTTTTGTGTGTGTGTTTCTTTGTGCCCCGCCATGGTAGTTTTGATGTTGATATGAGCAGCGCACTCACACAAAGCTGTTACCTCCAAAGTCTTGCCCTTAGTGCCGTAAGAATCCAGGAGGTACATTAGGGATGCCTCAGCGTGATTGTGCCGCTCTCTCTCTCTCTCTCTCTCATACACACACACACACACACACACACACACACACACACACACCTCAGCACCTGTGAAAGATGCTGTCTTGAACGGCAGGATACAGCCGGGAGTAGTAGTTAAGCAAGCCCTAGAGGAGGTAAGCACATAGACGAGTTAAGCTTAAGCAAACGCATACGGTCTCTTTTCTTGTTCAGTCTCTTTCCTTCGACACTCCCAACTCCCAGTATGGACTAACATCTAATATTGGGGCTCGCTCCACTATACAACACACTGTACACGCATTTGGATGCTTTCTGGACCCAATACATTCAGAGTGTTCGGCACGTCGCGATGCACCTAGTCCAGTAAGAGTCCAGGAGCGAGGCTCGATGTGAGAATTCGAAATCATGGGGATCATGTTTTTTCCCTCCAGCGTGGCAACAAAGCAGGATGCAAGCAAGAGGATGAGAAAAATGTGTATGGTTGGAGCATAGGGTTGAGATTCTTGAGAACAATAGTAGCACACAATTTCCCCAGGGAGAACTCGTTCCCTCTATTTTCATCCACATCTATGCTCATGAACAAGCATCCTCCGCTTATGCCTGTCAGAGATCTAGGCACAGATTTGATGAGAACAAGCAAAGATGTCTGTCTACCCAAGGTTCACCCGCTCCCTCTGTTTTCCATGTCCCGGTCAAGCGGCAAACACACTTAAGACCATGTACGAGAGATGATGCGGAGTTCTTCACTGGCCTCTTCTTTTTCCAGTACTTCTGAAGGCTCAGTTTGGCTTTCAGAAGCACGTGGACGCTTTCTGGACCCAATCCATTCGAAATAGATGGGGGAGATAAAGCAAAATCTTCTAGACTATTCCAGCAGCAGTCTGAGTGTGTCCTAAATGTTCAGGGGGGTCCCTCTTTGCAAATGCTGCACCCTTGGCAGAGGGGCGGGTGGATCGGCATGGGCGGATGTATCGTCAAGATCTCAGAGGGTAGTGTGAAATTGGGCTGTAGCCTAGAATCTAAAGCCACATTGACCTAAAAATGCTACTGCATGCTTCCAGTAGAGGTGGAACGATGCCTACAAACATTCATAAACGGGGCTGCAGTAATCATTTTGAGTAGGCGTTACGGTGCAAAAGCACAGAGCTTGTGAAATTAGCACTGTTGTAGTCCTCTTCCGTCAAGGTGGCTTATGACAACCACAAGCGCCCACAGATGGGGGAGGTGAAGCAAAGCAAGACAAAACATAACGTTAAATGTCAAATGAACTGATTAGAGATCCATATGTGGACGAATGGAAGGCATCCGTTGTCGCCCACGAACAGTGAAGTACTATTGAGAAGGTACCTATCTGTGTGTGGACCAGATGTTGAATCTGGAATGATCTGACTACCGTCTTCACCCGAATCGAGCGCCCGGTCATTTTCACGGTATCTAGACTGGAAGTTCTGCCGAAGACAGCTATAATGACCAGGCGTTCTATTCGGGTGAAGACAGCAGAGATAGAATGGTGGCAAGTGGAAGGAATCCATCCCCCATGAACAAGAAAGTACTCGTACCAGGAACTGTCCAAGGACAAAATGAATGAATAATACTCGCACGAATGGCGTCGCTCCAGTACACAACTCTCTACATGCATCTTCGGATCACATGCATTCGGACGAATCACAAAGATGCCTGATTGTTCCATTTGGGAAAACACGGTAGGATCAAACACAAATATGCCAGAATGTGATGTAAAGAAATGTCTGAGTCACATCCAGGCTCAACGTCAGCATCATGTAAAAGGTGAGAAGCATCAACCCATACTACAGGACAATCAGTCTCCTAGATCCGTAACCCTAAGAGCATGAACCTTTTCAGGAGTTGCATGACTTCGGGACACTTCGCAGGCGTTGGGGGGGGGTGGGGGAGAGGAGAATGAAGACCCTGAGGGGGTGAGGGGACCTAGGAGGGTGCTCCTCTCCCTTACGCTGGCCTTTGCCTTTTCGGGTGGGATTTGTAGCACAGTAGCGAGAAGTTGTTGGAGCACAGATAGCAGGTGGTGGATGACTCATGCAGGAGAAGCAGTTGGCAATCACATTGAATTCTCAATGCTCATGTGAGGTCTTGTGTTTGTCTAACGAATGCTTTGATCATTTTGGTCAATTGCTGATTGTGCACTTCCTACTTGTTTGTAGTTCATGCAGCTCCAATTAGACCCACCAAGCGGCAGCAGTCTTCCGCCCAACAACGGTGGAAACATCACGCAGAAAGTCACAGTTACAAACAGCCAACATGGACAGGTACAAACACTCTCTCTCTCTCTCTCTCTCTCTCTCTCTCTCTCTCTCTCTCTCTCTCTCTCTCTCTC